TCACTTTTACAATCTGTGTCGCTTTACAAATGGTACCCCATACTGCATGTAACTGCATACATTCAAAAACCAGTAATTCTGCCAAAGAGGGCAAATAATAGCACGATAATATAAACACATATACAAGATTTATTTTCTTGACCCTTTACCGAGGGTGGTCGACTGGCTAGCACATCAGCCTCATAGTGCAGCGTTGCAGGGTTCGATTCTGCTCTCCAGCCTTCCTGTGTGGAGTTTGCAAGTTCTTCTCGTGCCTGCGTGGGTTTTCTCTGGGTACTCCGGTTTCCTCCCACATTCCAAAAACATGCATGGCAGGTTGATAGAACATTCTAAAAGGCGTGATTGTGAGTGCCAATGGTTGTTCGTGTGTGTTGCCAACCAGTTCAGGGTGTCCCCCGCCTACTGCCGGAAAACAGCTGTGATAGGCTCCAACACGCCCGCGACACTTTTGAGGATTAGCGGATTAGAAAAGCCTTTACCAATGGAGGATAGCAAGGCTACATGGGCCTATATCTCAGATGATGCAGGATAAACCCGGCAATCATCATCAGTAAATCACAGTGTTGACACATAGTCAGACATCCATCAATTCACAATCACATCTCCAGGTAGTTTAAAGTCTTCCACCAATATAACATTGACTGTGTGTTGTTTGACTGTGGATAGAGGGTGGAGTACTGGTCGTGTAGAAAAGGCACAAGACTATACATGTAAATTCCACACTGAATGGCCCGCGCCAGAATAAAAATTGAACCCAAAATCCACTTGCTGTGAGCAATAAGGCAAAACACCCATTGACTGTGATTCAACTCAACACATTAGCAATTTTAATAGCTCCACAAGATTCCCCATTTGCTCAAACAAATTGTAGAAGGACGAAACAACCCTGTAAATGCTCCCTAGGGAATTAGCAGCAGCGAGAGATAGACATGAAGAGGGTCATATCCTGATAAACAGATGGTGGATATCGGGTTTGCTTAAGTAAAACAGCATTATGCAATATTTGCAAAAGGATTAAAGAATAATCTCTGGAGCAGTATTTCCCAACCTATAGTGAGCAAATGTGCACATTTTACATGAGAAAAAAAACAATCTCACAACACACCATCAGACAAAAATATTAACAATAAATGCATTCACAGGTATTTGTCAGGTGATCATTATTTTTGTTCCATCTGTCACTGGCATACAGACGATCAGGGGTTGCCAACCTTTTTTGACCAAAGATCAACTTTTCGATCAACCAACCTCCCGTGATCGAGCCGTTACCGTACACCGCGCATACGCACACACTTATACACACATGCCATGATGAGCAACAGCCATCACGGCCCCCAATTGAAAAATAAAGTAGACACAAGAATTTGTGGGTTTTTGAAAATGATCTACTTTCGGCGAGACCTGACGTGGAGGCACGGGACGCACTTTTGCAGCATGTTAATGATCGTAGCTCACGTGTACCGTTTTAAAATGCCTCTCTCGGCCCTTCAGATTGCCATTCCTTGCCAGTGCCTTCTGTGATTTGTACATGAAACAAACTGAATGAGAGGAATAATAACAATGACAATAAAAGATGTAATGCAGCAGCTCTGATCACAAGCTGCAATTGCTGGTGACTACGCAAACAACTTGCGGTGATGCAGGTCACCCACAACCGTCATTTAAAGGTGACGTGCTTTATTATGTTTATTTCATTTTGTTTATTCTAGTTCGCAGCTACCAGTCGATCACAATCGACATTGGGCACCAATGCAGTCGATGGTTGAACAAAGGTACATTATTTGTAGTTAATCAATAATTTTCAGAAGATTTAAGTGGGAATGGATAATTTCCTGCGGCACACCTCATCATCTCTCAACGTACAATATTGAGCAATGGAACACTGGGATTCACTGCTCCGGAGAATATGTTATCCTGCTCTTTGTAAAAGGCTATGGTGACGCAGCCTTGAAGGTTGCTTGGATGAAAGATGAGCCATGCCAGATTAGAAAGACGATATCGACTTTGCAGATAATCAGCATCCAAATCCCCTTTGGATGTTAATATTCACAGGAGAAAAAAAAAAAAAAAAAAAAAAAAGGACAGCTGCCGCACAGTTCGGTCAAACAGTACGCACACGAAATACAGCTGACATATCAGAGCTTTTTTGATTGAACACGTGAAGAGGCACATATGTTGTTGAGCACAGGAAAACAGGTCAATGGCGTTTGTGATTTCACCTTGTCTGCATTTTAGTCACATGTGAATAAAGTTACTGCATGCATTGGAATGGCTATGTTTGGTGGTGCGTGTATGCGTGTGCCTGTTTGCATATGCGTTCATTATGTGCAAATCCTGGACAGAAACTGGCAGTTCAGAGGAGCTTCTAAAAGCAGTCAGGTTTCCATACCCGTGGTTACTCAATAAACACTGAGAGATATAATCAATGTCCTGTGAATAATTGGTGGCTAAGGCCAACCAATTATTCGGTAAATAGTTTCAACATCAATACTGTGACGTCATCCCACTCAATCAAACATGGTCAAAAGATTTGGTATTTTCTTTTGAAATAAAACAAATCAAAAATGAAGAAATACATCTCTATCCACACCTAGTTTACAAGATGCAACTAAATGTAGGGAAATGAGTTGAACTGTGTATTTGTTTTCACACAAATGTTCAATATTTCAAGGGAATTTTGAATTTGTGTCACTTTTCGATCAGGTTGGCTACTTGCCTATCATGTTTGAGAATTCAGTCTTTCACTGTATCTCCATCATATTGTTGTGTTCTGTTTTATCATATATTTTTTTAAGAAGTGTGGCGAGGACAAGAAGAGGTCCAAATTGAATTCTTTTGACAAAAATGTGCACTGTCCTTGTTTAACAATATAAACCATTGTTTTTTTTTTTTAAAAATCCAAAATAATTGAAATAGTGATTCCAAGAATGAAAATATATTTACACTCAGGGTGCTCCGATCACGATTTTATAATGCCGATTGAGATGTCGATTATCGGAATTGGATCAGCAGCAAGGAAAGGCACTGATCGTCGTTTGCCAATGACATAATTTCTCATAGAAATTTCCCCACCATGAAATGCAATGGCCCATGGTTACGAAAATATACTCAGCCTTCTTATTCTTCAAAATGTCCTCCCACAGCTTTTGTTTGTTTGTTTGTTTTTGCATTTAATTTTGTGTTTGTGAAACCCCAGGCTCATCCTGAAAAAGTTGTAAACTGCCCACTTAAAAATGTTTTTACGCTTAGTTCGCCTTCTCTGATTCAAATCAGCTGAGGGGTTGGTTAGAACACTGTAGAGAAATAAATAAAAAGTATTGTTGTCTTTTCCTCTTTCTTCCTGGTCAGAAGAATATAAGCAGTATGAGGGTAAAACGTACCGACTGGCAGGGAGTGCTATGAAAAAAATTTGGCTTTGTTGATCACGTGAATTATCTGTCAATCTATCTGGTGACAGTACAACATCTCCAAGTCAAATGCACTTAAAGCGGACAACGTGTAGTAAGAAGCGGCAAATTATTTTGTGAAGTTGGGCTTGTGGTGGTATGTGTGGCGGACGTGTGGCAGAGGTGCAACCTCCTCCTGGGCCCTGTCTCGCCGCGTCACTGTGCTTGCATGGCGCCCTCTGATTACTAATATGCGTGTTGTGTAGCAGTGTCATGTCTCGCGAGACATAATGAAATTCATTTAATTGGTGTGGGGTCATTCTCTTAATTGCTATACACAGCCCTTGTGATTACTTTATCATGCTGCTTTCTCCTCTGATTTTTATTTTTTTTTTAGTCAGATTCTTTAAAGGTATTATTGGCACTGTAGTTATGATAACCGAAAGAACGAGATCCCGGATACAAGCGGCCGAAATGAGTTTCCTCCGCGGGGTGTCTGGGCTCTCCCTTAGAGAGATAAGGTGAGAAGCTCAGTCATCCGGAAGGGGCTCAAAGTATGGCCGCTTCTCCTCCACGTCGAGAGGAGCCAGATGAGGTGGCTCGGGCATCTGATTAGGATGCCTCCTGGACGCCTCCCTGGTGAGGTGTTCCGGGCATGTCCCATTGGCAGGAGACCCCGGGACGACCCAGGACAGACTGGAGGGACTATGTCACCCAGCTGGCCTGGGAACGGCTCGGGATCCGCCGGGAAGAGCTCGAAGAAGTGGCTGGGGAGAGGGAAGTCTGGGCTTTCCTGCTAAAGCTGCTGCCTCCTTGACCCGACCCCGGATAGGCGGCAGAAAATTGATGGATGGATGAATGGTTATAATAATCCATGAAACCTTACCAAAATAATTTTTAAAAAAATGTTCATGAAATAAAAATGAAAATGCTTTTGAAAAAAATAAAAGCATAAAAGTGGAGTGAAACTACATTTTGAGTTGACAAAAACTACCTAAAACTATTCTGACTAACTAACTAACTAATTAACTAACTAACTTTTTATCTTTCACACGAGTTTTCGGGGTTCATTTAAAATTAATTTATTTTGGTGTTGCTGTACGTCCGTACAGAAGCAGGAAGAAAGAGCTAATGCTATTGGTCAAAGTTTCAAAAAGCGGGTGAATGTGCAATTTAATTTACTTTCATTTAACATTAAAAAGCTGAAGCATCGTAAAATGTTTCTCAATCGAGCAAAGAGCGCCAGTTTCAAAGCGTGTCTCGCACATACCACCTGCTGGTCAGACCAGAAACCGAATCGTGACAGGAATTGCTGAAAGATTGCGGGTGATATGGTGGCGCTGTGATGTTTTGGTAATCAGATGGGCTGCAGTTTTGAACCAACTGGAGGTTACACGGTGACTATTATAATACTTAATTCAGTTGATATTTACATTTGTTTGATGATCTCCAACATTAATCTGAGGAAACAATGTAAAAAAGTAGGAATTGGAGAAGTTTGCAACTATTCTGATTTTACCGGAGTCACGGTTCTTGTTCATGGCGAGGGGACCATGTGGCCAGCTAACTTGATAATAAATGAATTCACATTTTACCACAAGAAAATACACATACCGGCTTGTCCACAGAAAGAGAAACGTGTAACTGCAAAACTAAACAGCTGTCTGATTTTTGCGCTGGCTGACATTTCACTGTCTGGAACAAATAACAGTATTATGTTGAGTGGATTACCTGAACACATGTTCGGGCCACCTATTTCATGAAATCCAAGTCGGCATTAATCTCAAAGTCAATACGGGTGAACAGAAAATATAAATAAATGAATTCACATTTTACCACAAGAAAATACACCGACTTGTCCACAGAAAGAGAAACGTGTAACTGTAAAACTAAACAGCTGTCTGTTTTTTTGCGCTGGCTGACATTTTTAGTTTCACGGTGTCACATATATCTCAGGCAACGTTATGAAAGAATGTCGCTATGATGAGGCGCCAACAATTACGGTTATGTAAATTCTGTTGAAAATGTGTATGACTTCATAAAAACTGCTCCTGTCCTGAAAAAAAAAGGATCTTTGTAAATTTGGTGTCATTAAGATTTTAAGAGTACTACGACTTTTAGCGATATTGCTTATACAGGGTAAGGCAAAATGATCAGACACATTTGTAGGTTAACTAAAAGACAAATAAAGCAAAGAAACAAAAAAGTGTTTTTATTTTCAAAAAGTACATATTATGTCTTTTTTTTTTCTTTAATGCTATTTTGCTTTGTTTCTTTATAATGCCATTGTTTTTTGTTTCTTTTTCCGTTTCTGCCATGAATTGGACTGGTGAGCATTGCGCTCTCATTGTGGAAACGTTTATCAATACAAACGAATCTGTAATTGCAACATGAGTGTTCCGTTTGCATTTTCAATCTTGGTAGACATGATCCCGTACTAGCTCGAAACACGTTCTTGTTATGGGTTACCAACTTCAGAGTTACTGGATCTGCATTGAAACGAAAATCAACCGGCCGACCTCGCACCGCCAGAACTCCACTTAATTTTTAAAACATAATGGCATTATATGTACTTTTCGAAAATAAAAACTTTTTTTGTTTCTTTACTTCATTTGCCTTTTATTTAACCTACAAATGAAAAAAAAATTCATTTTAGTATTTAATCTATCTATCTATCTATCTATCTATCTATCTATCTATCTATCTGCCTACCTAGCTAACTAGCTAGCTATCTCCACTGATTTTAAGCGCACACATCAGTACCTTGTGAGAGTGGTTTTCACCTTGGTGCTTTGCCATGGGTGTCATTTTTGCCTATCCTATTCCTCATAAACACTGACCTTAACTGAGGCGAGGGAGGCCTGCAGTTCTTTTGACATTGTCCTTGGTTCCATGTAACCTGCTGGATATGAGTGGTCATTGTTCTCTTGGGGTCATTTTTTTTTTTATTTTTTTTTTTAGGCTGGCCATGTTTACAACTGTGAAATGTTTTCTTTATTTGTGGATAATAGCTCACTGTGGTTTTGCTGAACTCCGAAAGCTTTTAGGAATGGCTTTGTAAACCTTTTCAAACGATGGATCAATAACTTGAGTTTTCATCTGTCCTTGGCATTTTGTTGCAGGTTTCTTTTGGAGATCTTTTGGCTGACTTCATTTTGTCAGACAGGTTTTATTGAAGTGATTTCTTGATTGAACAGGTCAGGAGGTAATCGTGGTTGGGTGAGGTCAGGTAGGTTTTGAGTTTGGTTATCCAAAGAGGAATATAGTCAAAGTTATGAATGACAGGTGGAAGAGAGCTCCAAAGTTGGAGAGCAGAGCAGCTAAAACACTGCTTGACAAGATGCTCAGATGAGCAGGATTACAGTAAGGTGAATGGACAACTAGGATCTGAAGGAGCAAACAAAAGTGGAAATTTGTAGAAGGTCGGACATATAAGGTTGACTTAGATTGTAAATTTCCGTGAATGTCTGTAAAAGAATTTGGAGTTGATTTATGAAACTGGGAGCCAATGGAATTGCTGAAATATTGCGGGTGATATGGTGGCGCTGTGATGTTTTGGTAATCAGATGGGCTGCAGTTTTGAACCAACTGGAGGTTACACGGTGACTATTATAATACTTAATTCAGTTGATATTTACATTTGTTTGATGATCTCCAACATTAATCTGATGAAACAATGTGAAAAAGTAGGAATTGGAGAAGTTGGCAACTATTCTGATTTTACTGGAGTCACGGTTCTTGTTCATGGCGAGGGGACTATGTGGCCAGCTAACTTGATAACTGAGGCTGGTGTGGATGTTTTAGCCAAGTCTCTGTGATTGACATAATGGTACAGTCCTGGAAAGACTTGATGGCTGAAACCTGTAGCCTCAGTTCTTTTTTATTTGTTATGAACCTGACGTTGGAGAGGAATCAGCGGTCTCTTTCGCCGTAGGCCGGCCTTTCGCTTTCAGTACTGAGGCTGGTGTGGATGTTTAACCAAGTCTCTATGATTGACATAATGGTACAGTCCTGGAAAGACTTGATGGCTGAAACCTGTAGCCTCAGTTCTTTCTTATTTGTTATGAACCTGACGTTGGAGAGGAATCAGCGGTTTCAATGACTGTCTCTTTCGCCGTGGGCCAGCCTTTCGCTTTCAGTGGTTTTTTTTTCTTCCTTTTGAGCCGCGTGTGTACCATCTTTCTTTGTAAATATCTCATGTTACAATATGGGCACCTGCGGCTTATTCACAGGTGCGGCTTATGTGTGGACAAAATATTTTTTTCCTTTAAAAATGTAGTGGTGCGTCTTATAATCAGGTGCGGTCTATAGTCCAGAAATTACGGTAATCCCAAACTCAGAAGAGTTGGATGAGTTTAAGTCTGCTTTCCAAGCAAAAATACATAAATGCACAATAAAAAAAGGCACCAAGTGTGAAGAGCAGCGAGCTGTAATGTCCGCACTATGTGCGCCACTTGCAGAATTTGTTTTGATGATGTGGGTTTATACACAGGGGTTTTTTTTTTTTTTTTTTTTCGAGACCACCACCACTTATTTGTTTGATAAACTGTCCAGCATATTTAAATACATTTGTACACACTATGACTGCTTATTTTTTTCCCACCCTTTTAAGTTATCAAGATCCTAGATAGCGGTCCGAGTGGTTAGGATGGTAAGCACGTCAACCTCACAGTGCAGAGATCGTGGGTTCGATCCCGGCTCCGGCCTTCCTGTGTGGAGTGTGCATGTTCTCCCTGTGCCTGCGTGGGTTTTCTCCTGGGACTCTGGTTTCCTCCCACATCCCATAAACATGCATGGCAGGCTGATTGAACACTCTAAATTGTCCCTAGGTGTGAGTGTCAGCGTGGATGGTTGTTCTTCTCTGTGTGCCCTGTGATTGGCTGGCAACCGGTTCAGAATGTACCCCGCCTACTGCCCCAAGACAGTTGGGATCGGCTACCGCACCCCCCGCGACCCTTGTGAGGATCAAACGGATCAGAAAATGGATGGATGGATGGATGGATGGATGGATGGATGGATGGAAGATCCTCGATTGCAGCCTTGCCCTCTTTCGATTTCGTCATTTACAAATAATTAAGGCTTGTTTGAGAGTTTCTCCGGGCTTCACATGCAAAATGTTCAAAGGTCTGCGTTCATGAAATAAACAGCTCCTCAACTCAGCCTTTCACATCTCATTTACCTTCATACATTTCATAGACGAGACAGCTCCGCAGCATGGGGCAATCTTTCTCATCAGTACAATTTGACATGGCCTCAGGGGGGCTGTGTCCAATAACTGGACAAACCCACTTTACCTTTGAGCCATGCTGGGCGAGTATAGAGGGTATCACAATTGACTTTTTTCCATCCACAGCTTGTAACTGTCATAAATGATGAATGAAGTTCATCTTCTCAGAGTGCCAAATGCTTCACACTTGTGTTGCTTTGCTGTGAGTGATAGCAATGAAAAAAAATATATTTTAGCTTCAGGCTGGATTTCAAAGTGTGGTCGACTAAATAGAATGTGTTTTGAACAGCAGGTGCTCGGATACTCCTGCTTAATTTTCAAATTGATGTTACTTCATATCATAAAAATAATTCTTCAGTACTCTATGCTGATCAATTGACAGGCTTTTCTCAAGTGGCCACGTTGTCATTGCTGTGCCACAAATTACCACTAACTCCATTTTTTTTATTTTTTTTTAACGAAAGACTGATATCGTTTTGTCACAAACAAATCAGCATATATGTCATTGCTGTGCCACAAATTACCACTAACTCCATATTTTCATTTTTTTAACGAAAGACTGATATCGTTTTGTCACGAACAAATCAGCATGTCATGTGATCATGAAAATATTCATCAACAGCCTTACACCTGCTATTCTACGGTTCACTCTGATTTAAAAAAAAAAAAGTCACATCGCTCTCCTTTCGTGCCAATGGCGGCAGTTGACAATAACACCATCTGACACATTGTTTGCATATTTGATTGGATCAGCATCTTGGCACATTGTCATTTCATGTCAGCTGTGCAGTTATCTCAGCGGCATGTAAAACGTGGACATTTTATCGTCAGTATCAAATCAGGACACGAACAAGTACTCCACACTTGACAAGTTATAAAAACGTAACAGCTGGTTCGACGATTAAGGCAGACATTTTGAATGGGAAGGTGAGATCATCAAACCGGTCTTTCTGCATGTCTAAGAGGTTGTTGAATCGTTTACATTGATCATCAATCTGCCCGAAGTGTTGGATTGGAGGTTTCATCTATTTGGGTAGTTTTTTCTACTCGTGCCGATACTTCATAATGCTGTTACATTTTCTGTTTTGTTTGCATCAAATAATTTTCGGAAGTACAAACGATGAAACTTTTCGTGGACATAACTTAAATTGATCTCTAAACTTTAGAGTAACACGTTGTCATTACTGACAATTTAATGTTCATCTGTATGTTTTTCTCACAATCTTTGCCCAACGTTCCTTCTAGTGAGCAATTGCGCACTGCTCACAGCCTCTCAGCACACACCGTGACGCTGGCGCGCACCACGCACATGCATTACATTTGTACACTCATTGATTTATTTCCACCAGGTTTAATCTACAAACTGGACACCAGACCATTCCTACTTCCCTTCCAGTTTCGGTAGTGCAATCAAGAGTGCAACTCAGTTGTTCTACTCTTGTTTGAAGCCTACATGGGTACAGATACACTCACACTTACCACTGATGGGCGTAGTTTACTTGTCTCTTAAATGAGGCTCTTTCGCCTTTTCAGAGGTCAGTTGACGAGAATTTTTTGGGGGGTTTTATGAACTGACACGTTACCATTATTTATGAGTGGGCAATGTGGAACCGTATTGATATAGATTCTATTGAGACTTAATTGTGCTTAAAAATGACGTATGTGGTATAATGAAAGGAACAAACCAGGGTTGATTTTATTCATGTCACGAATCTTTATTCAATCATTTGTTTTATGTTTACAGATAGAGTAGGTGGTTTTAATTTTTCTTACATCATGCAACGTATGATCGGAGGTTTTTGGACAAGTGTGGTACTGGTTTGGTGGCCGTGTGCCTGTTTGATATTGCTCACCATGATCTTAGGTATACTCAAGGAATTTGTGTGAATGTTCAGACGTGTGGAAAATTAAAGGGAACATATCTCTTACCACATAGATCACTGGAATAGAATAAAAATAACCTCAGTGCCAGTGTCGCTGGAGTAATGAAAATCTACAAGACGTATCACAATTACGAGCAGTGAGGTAAAAAAAAAAAAGTCAGCTTTTAACTTGAACACAATGAGAAAATAGAGGTAAATGTCTAACACATAGTAACACAAAATTACAGCTGCTTCTTCTTCATTGGTTAGCTACTTCATGTTTGGAGGCAGCTGTTTACCGCCGACAACTCGCCCAATGCCAGGGTCATGGTTTGCTTCATAATTTTCTTCTATCGAACGTTGTATCAAATTAATTTTCTATTGATATCAATCAGGTGTCTATAACAATACTTATTGATACTGAATTATCGCCCAGCTCTAGGTTCCACTGTACTTTATTCCACTATCGTTTAATTTTCTTGACTGGATGCACTGTGCTGCAGGGCATTGCCTGCCTGATCCCAGCCTCGTCTGACATGGCTTAGATGTGGGAGCATGGCTGGCTCAGCCAGAGTCAAACAACGCGCATGACAGGGTTCGAGAATATTGATACTTGCCGGATGGCCGACATACGTAACTCTTTGGCCATTTTGCAGGACATAATTGGAAGTCAGCTAACTGTTGTTATTACTGTTTACCTTAAAGGATCTCTACATGGTGCCTTCTCCAGCTATCTAAATGGTATATGTCAGGGTGGTAAAATGATATCGGTGTTGTAGTATCGAAGCTTTTTATTTTTCTTCTACTATAAGTACAGTACAAATGTTCCAATATCTGGTAGTGCGTCCCGAATTTTTGTTGGGTTTCTCCCTTTTCCAGTACCCTGTCACAACACATAAAAGGTGGACTACACAGTTTGGGGGGAAAAAAACAAACATTTTTTGCACAAGCTGACAGTAGAATATGATTAAAATTATATTTTGAAAAATTATTCATCTCTGACTCTATCTTATGCCTCTAATTTGATTTTTAATTATAATTTTAAAAGCTGTCATGGCATGACGAAACAAGCCCATCAGAGACTGTAACGACAGAAGGTGTGACATGGGGACGTGTCAATCATTTTCTCACATGCAGAGCTGCTCACTGAGCCTCTCGGGGATACACACAGCCCCTCGCAAAGGCCGTTATCGTTCTGTGGCCTGATTGTCAGCAGCAATATTTAAAACGAAGGAATTGGACAGCTAGTTCTAGTACTCTAGTTCAAATCAAGGCTAAACATAACAGTATTGTGGGAAATGCGGAAAACTACAAGCGGCGATCTCACCGTTCTCACGGGTCATCACCTCTTATATTGTTCATTCCGAAAAATATAACATCAGGCAATATTTCATGTTTGATATTACTACATCATGAATAAGTCATGCTAGCAATGTAGATGCTATGCCTCCCTATTATTGAGCTGGGGGCGGCAGGGACTCAAGTAAGGCTTCACATCTTGCTGGTGTTTTGAAAACTATATCCCCGCTGTGGAGAAAAATGCAAATTAAGATTTATCTGTATGGATGTTGTTTCATTATATGACGATATTGGAAGGAAATCCGTGCTGTATAATTATTTACTACCTGATTTTGATCGTAAAATGTTTACCAGGATGATGTATTTTGTGCATAAAAGGGCTGAAGACCCACTGCGGAATATTGCAGTACGTCTTTTGAGCTGCCTGTTGCTACTCTGATAGCGTTACAAGAGTTTACATAGTGCATAGTTGCCTGCAGTGGGATTGTAGAGTAAGCCTCATTTGCACTAGACATGAGCACAAGATAAGGGTACCTTGTTTCTGCTTTTCACTGCCATATGCAGGGGAAGCTTTCCAGCTACCTGGGCATCCTCAAATTTGTTTCAATTTCTCTGACAATATTCCATAGGAAACATTCAACCATCCATCCATTCATTTTGAAAACTGTTTGTTCTTATTTGGGTGTGTAACCGGAGCCTATCGCGGCTGACTTCAGACAAGGGTGGTGGTCACCCTTGAACTGGTTGCTAGTCAATGACAGGGCACATACATTATGGATAAACAAACATTCATACTCACACTCACACCTCTGGGCAGTTGAGAGACTTCAATTCACCTACCTTTACATATTTTTGTTGCTGCGTTTGCCGCTCTGTTTAAAAAAGTGTGTGTTTCCTTTGGTGAGTTTGAACTTGGAGGTTGAGTGCACTCAGCTGCTCACCCGGGATGTTTATTGAAACATTAGGGGTGGGGGAAATATTTGATGACAAGTCTAAATGCATGCCTTTGCTTTCCTGAGATCAGAGTATGGCACTTCCTCCAGTCAAGCGCACTTCAACAGGCGGGCCTGTGAGGATTCTCCAACTCCCGGGGTGCCTCTCATCTTGTATCGTATTATTGTACGAGTATTATGAGCTTAAAGGCGCCCTGGGAGATCAGCGTTGATTCCTTTTCCAGTGGGCTGGACTGTGATAAATGTTGAGGGTCACGGTACAAGTCCTGCTGCGGACATTAAGAAATTGCAACTGGTTGTTGTTAAAGTTCTTTCAAGCAAGGCACCAAAACTGTTTTGGATATTTTCATTCATGCAACATTTTCTTTCACTGTCCACTGTGGTACTTTCATCTCCTGCTGTGCAATCAGATGCTACATTGGCTAGCAATACTGACCAACAGAGAAAACATGAATCCCTTTTTTCGTACAACAACAAGGAAGCCAGATGTTCTGAGGGATGATGGGATGAGCCAGTGGGGTAGGAGTGAAGAGCAGAATGGCTTCAAAGATCGTGGAAGGACAGGCATGTGTGTGAGGATAGAAATAATGACAGATGCTGGGATGGAAAATGGATCAGCTGGATACCAACACCTCCAAAACACATGCATGAACACAGAAAAACGCCGCACGTGACCATGAGCACAAATGAAAACGCACGCACACACACACACACACACACACACACACACACACACACACACACACACACACACACACACACACACGAATTGAACCCCTCAGTCTATTTGGAAATGTTTGTCTATCTATTCATGATCTGTATCTCGCTAGTGTCACGGGTGTGCTGGAGCCAGCTGACTTGAGGCGAGAGGTGGGGTACACCCTGGACTGGTCACCTGCCAATCACAGGGCACAGCGAGACAAACAGCCAAGTCACACTTACATTCGGATCTACATACAAATCAGACCAGGGATGGGCACCTGGAAGCCTGCGGGCCACATGCAGACCCCGCCCAAACTCTGAAAGGAGAAAACATAATTTGGGGTGGGGTGGGGCATAATAAACATGACCCCTCCCCCCCAAAAAAATATCATGTACATTTCAATGTGCATCAATTATTGGAGGTTTTCTGTCCCTAACCCCTTTAAATAGCGCAGGTCCACTGTATAGTTTGAAGTTGGTTGTGATATCACCATTTGCCACTAGATGGCAGAAATCACTTAATTGTGCTTGCATCTGGGGTTATAATGGCCAATACTAAAATGTGCTTAGCCCGAGATTGTTGTAGATTTTATATGTGCATTAACTGCCAATACTGATGGAAGTTCCATGATTGCACAACCCCCAGTTGCTGACGAATGACGGGAAACTTCGAAAGACTAATCAATGACCGACATGCCTGGTGTGCTCCTTTGTCTTCATGATGCTATTTGCACTTTAAACAGACCGCCTCAATGTTCACAGAGCAGGTGCATTTGCACGCAAGGGGAAATCTGTATATAGGCGAACTCAATTTATCACCATTAGTCATTTAGGTCAACATTGGATCAGTAGTGTGCATGAGAGCGTTTCAGTCGTGCGAGTGAGAGCAGTCAAGGCAAGCAGTCAGCGGGAAATGAGGCAGTTGTGAGAGGAAAACAAAGCATTAAAACATAAGGGATGTAATTCAATAATTGTTGACAATTTTGATCGTCGAGATAATCGTGGCGGTCCTAATGGACAAAAGCAAAAATGTGAGCGAGAATAGTCGCTGGTCTTGAGGTGCCGTATGATAAACTGATAATCAGCCCTCTTGCCCAAACCTTGGCTCGACTTCAGTCCATCCGCTTTACATCCATCCATCCATTGTCTGATCCACTTTATCCTCACGACAGTCACAGGCGTGCTGGAGCCGATCCCAGCTGTGTTCGGGGAGTAGGCGGGGTACACCTTGAACTGGTTGCCAGCCAATCGCAGGGCACACATAGACAAACAAGCTTTCACACTCACAATCGCGCCGACATAAAATTGAGGGTGTTCCATCAACCTACTATGCATGATT